ATAAATGCACAGCGGTCATATAACTTACATCCTGGCAGGTAAATATATAAACATAGGTGCATTATATGCTCTATCTTAAAGAAATTATTACAATTATATTTTCCAGTCTTAATCAGGAGGCTAGGGTTTTTCTCCGTACATGACTCGGCATTAAAAAAAGTGTTGTGTTTTGAATTCTAACCAAAGAGATCTGAAAAAGCTCCTCTTCATTCAAACTAAGAATACTTCCATAAAAATCCATGATTGTTTGTTTTTAATCGATTTACAAAATGCAGAGTGAGTGATCAAAATGAAAATCTAAACTTGATATTAACGTTAGGCCTTACATTAATTATTCAAAAACAGAGTTGTTGGCCTGGCTGACCGGGTTCCATGTTTGGTTCCCCTGCAAGGCGATGAGGATTGAAATGATATTAGGAAGGAATCAACTCTATCGCTGCATTGTAGGTTTTTTAAAAACCTGAAACCTGAGCCCCCCCCCCCTCTGTTTAAGGTTGGCTTTTCTTTCTTAACATAGATGGCTTCCTTCACGCCCCTCTCAAACCAAGTCTTCTTTGTCCAAAATTTGAACATTCTAGCCTCAAACTATGGAAGCTCATTGGTAGAATTCCCTTATGACAGAAAGAAGGCCACGATTCACACCATCTATCATCCAGAGGGGGGAACATTTATTTACAAAACCGAATTCATACAGCTGTCTTAAACACTTCATACATTCAGCGCTATGTCCTCACATCTGTTATTTCCCCCAACCTTCAATCCATTGTGGGCGGCATTTATAGGTTCCATATCGCACTGTGTGGATGCACGCGCACGGGAATATTGTGTCGACATCTTACTGGAATTCACGTGTGCTGATTTGCGTCAAAGTCACTGCGACCCTCAAGAGGTGTTTACACAGACGCTCTCTGTTTTTGCCAAACCCCCTCATGCAGCCTTGGGGACCATGGTGTTACTAAGACTCAAAACTGACCTTTAAGTTTGGTTGCTAAGTAAGTGTAGGGCCATGTTGTAGGATATATTCTGATTCTGATTTCTGATTCTGATATAAGACAATAAAACTGCTTCTACAAAACTAATGTGCTTCGTCCTTGAGGTGCAGGTGGATGCAGAGTCTTGTCCAGAGGAGGGCGCTCTTCTGTGTTGGTCCATGCGTCTGTGGAGAGGTTGTTTGGTTTCTCCAATATAAAGATCAGAGCCTCACTGCATTGAATGGCATAAACCACTCCACTCATCTTAGGTCTGGGGGTTTTTGTCTTAAGGATGCACTAGTCTCTGTCATCTAAAAAGCATCCTAAAGACAAACCCCCCCGCCGCCTAAGAGGAGCTGGATGACTGAGAATCTTCACCAGCATATTGTATAGATTAATAAAATCATGAATCTGCATGAACGTGATTGACAGGCTTTAGATGAGTGCTAAGGTATCCTCACCAAAGCAGATGCGGTCCGGACCATTTTGATAACATCGCCACGCTGTTGGACGGGCATCCGGCAGGCATCCATGAGGTAGATACAGCAATCCAGAATGCCGTCATGGAACTACATGGGAGTAAAGACGTTGAGACCAAATTCCAATTGGTTGATGGTTTGTGTCTGCCTATGCAGCCCAATGATTACCTGTCCGTAGACCCAGCCACGGTCAGAGATAGAACCCACTGCACCCTGAGATATCAGACCAGTTTCATTCATGACGTACTCCATACGTCCAGCTTCATCCGGGTAGAACACATCATCATCTGCAAACATCAAAACACATTCAGCTGCACACCATAGAGACCGTTTCACACTTGTCAAATCCAAGCAGCCCAGTGTACTTAGAAAATATCGTTGTCTTTCACTTGCCCTCAAGGTTTGGAGTCAACTTGCTAAAAAAAAGAAAAGAAAACTGCACCACCTCTCACAGCCACTGGGTGGCAGTAAACTCAGAGTGTTGTACCTGGAGACCAGGCGTTGAACAGCAAGTAGAAGTTGGTTTTGGGGTCCTTCTCGGTTCGACGCATACCGTTTGCATTGGCAATGGCCACATACATACGATACAACCCCACAACGGCCTTGGGATTCGGTGTGATCCCGAGGGACACGACCGCACCACTCGCTCCAAGGATCTTTCCAGACCAGGAACCACCACCACCACGGTTCCCGAAAGTGACCACCACCCTTGTATTACTGTTGGAGCTAGGGTCAGAACCTATAGGGGACAAGATAGAGAAATTTTAAAGTAGAGAGGTAACATTCACACCCTTTCACACATGATAGTTGAATAAATGCACATAGTCTTTGTCTAGGGTTTTGGCAGTAATCCATATATCATCTACTCTTGCAAAGAACAGAAAGAACAAGACAATAATCTTGTTCAGCATCAGCTTCCTTTGCCTGGTTTATATAGTATTCCCACTGTGAAAAACTGAGAGTATCATGCAATGATTGATGGTGATAAATATGGGGATGTTCTTGAACAAAGCACTCGGTCTGTGAAAACCAGCTTCCAGCAGGGCAAGGACCCAAAGCATGCTGCTAAAGCAACACCCAAGAGTTTTAATAGGAGACATTTAAACATGCAAGAATGGCCTAGTCAAAGTCCAGACCTCAATTGGAGAATCTAAGGTTAGACCTGAGTATCTGCTGTTAACAAACATTAAGAGGCTTCAATACAATT